CTGCACCACATATAGATATGCCTCCTGTACTGATGGTTCCACTCTCTGCTATTTAGGACCAGCCATGAATATGTGACAAAATTAATGTTCATCCGTCCATCCATCTTGAAACCTGAACCACCCAGCCATAGCAACTCTAAACCGGAAACACCAGCACATTATTCACTTATCGTTAGAACGACACTCATTATTTGACAACTCCTGCATTGATGCCCTATAATGGAAGGCTCTTGCTTGAGCGAGATCTAAGCAAGTAATGTTTTTTGTAGATCTGCACTTGGTCTTCTGTCTTGTGCGGGTTTCGCAATACCACGTTGATCTGCTACACTTTGGTCCGCAGCGTTGTCCGTCTACTCCTTTCTAGCTGAAATCGGACATCGGCTCGACATCACGCATGCATCGAGTGCGATTTGTGCGGAATACACCATCTTGTTGGTGAATTTAACCACTGTGAAGGACAAATGCTTGCATTTTTCTAAGAAAGTTGTACTTGATACGAACCTGCCAATCAGTCGTATATTTATTTTTGACTATCGTATATCCGTGTCTCCATACGAAGGTCACACAATGTTCCATATGAAGTCGGAAGCTTCAAGAATCATCGATAATTTGCAAGAATAGACAGTAGGTTCGGTTGTTAGGCGCTGCGAAGGGTCAGTTTCTATGAGAGTGGACATTAAAGTGAGAGAGTTTCTCTTACCACGAAGACGCCAGTATCAGCTGTGTACCCGAATGATATGTTGACTTGTTGAGCGTAGCGCAGATGTTGGTGATAGTTGGATATGGAAATTTGGCTCTGCTAGGAACCTATAAAAAGCAATGACTCAAAGAAGGCTTCAGTGATCTGAAATTGCTGTGCTACGAAAAGGCTTACGTGCGCAATAAAAGTGTGTGGATATTCAGGAATAGGTTTTTGAGAATCATCTAGGAATTTTTACTGCATGGAAACCTTCATCGTGCAACTGCCTTCGATAACAAACTGCGGCATTTTCAGCGACAATTCCGTTTTATTCCAGCAAACCTTTTTGTGGAATTATGTGGACACGCTGAAGTAGATCAACTTTTTAGACACATTTCCTAATCGGTTTTACCTTTCTCCATTCCTTAATCTGCCACCATGACTTCATGTGACAAGCATGCTTCATTCCATTGGCGACAATGATACACAATGGTGCACATTGGTATTTTATTATATGCGTATTTAAAACATTCTCAATATAAGAGCAATGTTAGCAGCCCTCGTAATACCTAAACCTAGCATGGTTTATATGGTTTACAGGAATGTTCGACATGAGATTTTATATGAAATTTAAAGCGTTCCATTTAGCTCGTCAGCATATTATTTGAAATTTTGCATGATTAGGCCAAAGATTACTTGCCTATCGAGGCTTCTTCAGCTTTTGAAAGTTTTTAGACACAGGAGTGAGCTTGATATGTATCGTAAATATCATTGTACACATCATCTCCCTGGTTTTTTACCATCGATCCATTTCAAATCCGAGATAACCTTCCAAACTCCCAATTCTCTTTATAAAAAATATAGAGTTCAAAAGACAAATGCTGTAGTTATATCCAATTCATCGTTGAAGTCGGTAAAAAAACTGCGTTGACGACAAATTTATGCAATGTTGAGTGAAGCTTGGGCGCCAAAAAGCGGCGTGGTCCCACGAGCAGGCTACATGCAAACTCGCGCTGTCGTTAGGGTCAAAGTGTTTAAAGCGCAGACTCGTGTTGCTGGCTTCGGCCAAGAAATTGCACATCAACCCGTTTGTGCATTTTATTGTATTGGGAAACTGATCCAGAATCCCTATACTTGCCTCTCGACGGAAGAATCCCTACCACTTGCTCTCGACGGCTTACGGAGGGTCTTTCGCGATCTTCGATACTGTTTAAGTACAAAGCAAGATTGCGCCTGCTATTGTCTGGATTTCTCTTCCGGTGCTATCGAAGTTCGCGCTGAAGCTGACTTCCGGTCTTGGAAATGACCACTTGACGTTCCATTCTATTGAGTGAGTATACAATTCGTGTTGGAATTTCAAGTGAAAGAAATAGTGCTTGCAAAGAAGGCCGCTCCCCGACGCCCGACCTACAGCCGGGCTTCCCATCGACTCCACCACGCTCCTCCTGTGCACTCGACAGGGGCAGATTTATCTATCTCGGAGACACAAGGGGTGCCCGCTGCGGCTCACCCTACCAAATAGGGCCGAAGAGCCGACCTAGGCGTGCAGCCCTACCGTCCCTGATAAACACACGAAACAACAGCCAAATAAAAATAGAGACCCATTTATCAGTACATAGTGGGCGAAAAAATATGCGAATTTACATGAATTACTGGTATTAATAGGCCGTACTGATACCCACTGGGGAAGGGTCGTGAACATCTTGGAATTCCCGCAATGCAAGATTAAGTCGTTATATGGAAGGAAGCGCCCATCACTGACATTCACATCCAAATGGAAAAATTCATTAAGAAACCACAGCCAGCAATCAAAGAGACAAGAGACAAACAAAAACCTGGCAAATTAAAGAGACAAAAGACAAACAAAGACCCAAACAACTACTTGAGGCAGAGTAGACCAACGAATGCTGAAAATCGCTGAGAGCGCCTGGGTTTTTTCCACCTTGATCGGTATGACCTCGATCAAAATAACGATAGAAATGGAGCAAAAAGATTCTTGAACACCCAGCATATTTCAAGTCTTTGCCATAAAAGCTGTGACATCTTTCTCAGTAGAGTAGCTTGGTGTCATAGGTTCCTTTAGGAAAGATCCATCGCTGAGTCTATAAAAATGCCGAACCGTTGTAGAAACAGGAAACATCAAGCAATGAATTCTGCCTCTGTTGCAGGAGTACTTCTGGATTACTCACTAAGGTAAAAACGGCAAAAATTAGTTAAGGGCCATTATACGATCGTACCAATCCTACAGTCCATATCCTCGTCACTAATGACTTTGGTCAAGTAAGGTATAATTATGTATCACAACAGCCTCACTTGCCAAAGAAGATAAGCTGTTTCCAGCATGATTTACAAAGCTACAGCGTATTATATGTTGAAAGCAGTTCACCTGCGCGACTTCAATCTGATGCGGCGGCGGCCACGTAAAATCCGTATAGGCACACCTACTCAGACGGCGCAACATGGACTCCAAACTATACGCTTGCAGTAAACAGTTTCATGGCGATCAGATCGTGAATTAAACGAAGCTAGCTTAGCTCTACTGATGAACTGTGCCGCTTTCATGGCAAGCTAATCCTCCTGATCAAACAAATTATAAGATCATGTGAAATCATTTAGACGATAAAAACTGCTTTCAATAATGGTTGTGTATAAGAGTCGAACAGACGTCGCATATCCTGCCTCATGTCATTTCCCTTTGTTTTATGTGAGCGCATACATACAAGTAATCATCTTATCGTTAGTGTTCCAGCGAGATGCTATTCATGAGATTGCTGTTAGTCTTTTCAATTTGCGTTTTTGATACCGAAGCAATGCTCACACTATGATATTTCAACTAATACTATGGTGGAATGGAGTCGTAAAGATGTATATTGCAGATGCATCTCGCTAACCTAATTTTACTTGCAACTCTTGCTGGGCCGACGCTTGCGTTTCCGAAGGAGGTACGTTCAAGAGATCACCTTCACTCGCGCTTCCCTTTTTCTTGGATCGCTTTCCTTATATCACTTACATATTAGCTTTTGTTACCGTTAAGTTATATGGTTTCCATAACTTTCGTTTCTTTTTCGCTTTTATACAATTCTTTACATTTTTTTACATTCCTTGGTACAATGAATTTCGCTCTATACATAACACGCCTAATCAGTTTCTTTTTTGTACCCCTACACCTGCAGTTCGGTACTGCGGATTATATGCTTAATGTGCGTAATGTAATGAATATCGCTGAGTTACGATCCATTTTGATCGTTAAAGCCTGTAAGTGAAAAATAAAGTGAATCGATGTCTTACTGTCTCATATTTTAGAGACGTGAAGCCATAGATAACGAGACGACTGCCGAAACTCTTCCGCAATCTGGAGAAATAGCTACGACGTCGGCTGAATCTCGCGCTGAATCTGAAGGGAGAAGTAGTGCGCCGGCCGATCCTCATGCAGAATCTGAAGAAAATAGCGGCACATTACTGAATGAAACATCACAGGAACCGGATATGCCCGCGGCTCCCAAAAAGGCCAAATTCATTTGTTCTCCAACCATGTGTTTTCCATGTTCTCCCATGTGTCCTCCCATTGCAGGGGTTCCATTCGTACCTCAAGTCCCGATGGTGCCTCAGGTACCTGCTGTAGTGCCGGTGCCTGTGCCTGTACCTGTGCCTGCTGTGGCAGGTATACCAAACATACCAGGTTTGCCTAATATACCAGGTCTGCCAAACATACCAGGGATAAATCAACCAGCTCAACCAAATGTTCCCCAGCCAAACGTGCCGCAGCCAAATGTGCCCCAGCCGAACGCGCCTCAGCCAAACGCCCCTCAACCGAACGCACCTCAGCCAAACGCACCCCAGCCAAACGCACCTCAACCAGCACCTGCTCCTGCTGTACCGGCTCAGCCTAACGCTCCAGCAGTGCCCCAACCGGTACCGGGTGTACCATTTCCACCTGTAGGACCCTGGGGAAGACCGCTCGTTTGGGTTGGTTGGGGAAAGAATGGAGGAGGGGTTGCTATTGGGTGAATTCATTTCAAGGCCATTTGTGATATTTTCTGTATGAATAATGTAAAATGTAGAGCAAACGGTCAGTCGAAAATAAAATCGACGTATGTTGCAGAGTTTGACCAACGATAAATGTAGGTGATTACTAGCTAAACAATTAGTTAGTCAACAACTCATCAAATAGTGCAGAACCGCGAAATACTGCAGGAGAAGAGCAAGCGAATTTCCATTGAATATTTCACACCTATCATGGAGACAGACAGTTCAGGAAAACGCGACGAGTTGTACCAATAAGTCCCCATATGTACTACATTACTATGACTGGACCATATTTTGTAAGGAGGACTATCACGGATATTGAAGTTGTTCCGTCGTTCAACACTGCAAGCGGCCACCGTCTCCTGAGCGCAAGACAGCATTTTGACCTGGACCCCACGAATTCGATTATTTAGATGAGATTGTCTCGGGCAAGAGTACTCAGTGTGGAGCAATGAAGATGGCGATAGACAACACCAACTTGGAAATGTTGAATGATGTAAACGAAGACATTGATTGCCCTGTATAACAAGACTGTATTGTGACCACAACCACAACTTCTGTCGAGTGGCAGAAGCCTTCTCTCACAATCAAAGCAAATGGATGGTCCACGAAATCATGTTAAAGACAAAATATTGCCTAGGGTCCATAGACTTATTCTTATAAAAGCTCTCAGAAATTTGTCCACATCCCATTTATTGGACGCTGCTATCAACAAGTTCCCCATCCCATTTATTGGACGGCTATCAACAAATATAGCTTGAAGTAGGAAAGCAAGGGCTAGCACGGTGCACAATTCCTTGTCTAAAAGCATTGAAGGATTAAGAGCCACATCTCGGTCAGAAATGGAGTCGATAAAGAAGAACTTTAACTCGAATTTTTTAATCAAACCACTGCACCTCTTCAGAGCCTGCTAAAGGATGGTATTGTCATTCTAAACTTTGGAAAAACAATGCCAAAACGGAAAGCTCAAGGGGTGATGGTCCATGGAGTCTATATAAGCTTGCGGTGACACACCCTGCAAAAAAGCATGCTTTCCCGAATGCTCAAATACGAACCACAACGGCGCT